GACAATGAACAAATCATCTAATATTTCAGAGCCCAATAGTACTCAATTATTTCCAGGTCCCATTTAACTCTAAAATCGATTATTGTCTAATTTTTTATTAAATATTCTGAATTATTGACATTAATGACATTTTAAGTACTAAAAAACGTTAAATCATATCTTAAATGCATTTCCTACATTAGAATAAAAATGCCAGAAGACCCAATATGAACATTTATCATAAAAATTCAGTCTAGCAAAGTAGAAGCAATATGTTATTAAAATGAATTCGATATACTGTAATACTTTGGTCACAATTTTAGAATTTTTGAACAGTGTGTAGAATAACTAAGCTAACAAAAATGTATGAAAAAAACTAGACTAAAAAACATTATACAACATCAAACAAGTGGCTTTCCTAAGCAACTGTGATTTCCTACTATACAAATTACTAGTTTCCTAATAATCCCATATACTCTATGTTATACAATTGAGAAGCTGCTTCAATAACATATCAAGAATGTCAGAACTTACATAAGTCTGAGAAAAATTAGAATTTGTATTTACATTATCTCATAGCCTATATATTACATATTTTTAGGATATTACAAGTTTATTTTCTGTGTAAATATTTAGAAACATATACCCTCCAAACTAATACTTAAGGATGAAAGGTACAAAAATGAGAACTTAGTTTACCTTTAATGTCCTCTAAGATACCTTCTGGTACTGAACCTGAAACGAAAATTTTATTTAGAATTATAGAACTTTAATAATAATTAAAAACAGTTTATTAACTTGCATTCACATTTCCATTTTCCATTTCAGCAAAATTTTAAAAAATATAACAATCAATATTTTTAAAGCCTAATAGAAAAATTTACTTCATTTTTAGGGAAGAAATTTCATCATTCAAAGCCAAGACAAAGCACAGAAGCTGAAGCAAAAAAGTGAAGTTCCAAGTTTGCTTATCTTTCCTGTGATAATAAAGAGCTCTCAGTAATATGCTAACCTAATTAATACACATTTTTAAAAAGAATCACACACAGTCTTTTAATCTTGTCCTTTAAGGTAAAGATGACATTTTTAAAAATGAGAAAGTACCTATTTACAGAAAGCTATGTAATCCAGAAAGCATTTGGAAGATGGATGTTTGGATATATTACCATTGTTATGTGATTTTCTTGCCAAAAATCTCTTGTTTTCTGAGTTAGACTCAGAAACAAAATTTTCTTAACTAAATTTAAAGTCTTCTAAACTATGAATTTTTAATCCATTGTTTTTTTTTGGTAGAGACACGGTTCTCACTATGTTGCCCAGGCTGGTCTCAAACTCCTGGCTCCAAGTAATCCTCCCACCTCCCAAAATGCTGGGATTATAGGTATAAGCCACTGTGCCAAGTCTGTTTTTAAAAATAATATATGACAAGGACTGCTAGCTGCCTAGTAAGATATCCATTTTCCAGTTTCTTATTGAAATAAAAGAACTCTATTTTGGGTGGCATGAGGAAGATCTTTATGGTGATAGTTATATATATATATATTTATATATTACATATATTTAAGGCATACAACGTGATGTTTTGATATACATGTATGCGGTAAAATGATTACTACAGTCAACCAAATTAACCTACCCTTCACCTTCCATAGTTACTTTTTTTGTGTGTAAAAAGTGCCTAAAATCTATTCTTAGCAAATTTTCAGCATACAACACAATAGTATTAACTATACTCATCATGCTGTACATTAGATTTCTAGACTTATCTTACATGACTACAAAAATTTGTGTCCTTGATCTTCTCCCAATTTCCTTCCCCTCCTCTCCCTTGCACTTATTGTTCTATTCTGTTTCTAGATATTTAGCTTTTGAGATCAAGCAGTATTTTTATTTCTGTGTCTTGTAATAGTTCTATATCTTGATTGTTATAGTGATCACAGAAATCTATACTTGATAAAATTATCCAGAACTATATATATACTTTATAACAATGCCAATTTACTAGTTTTGATACTGTGCTATAGTTATATAAGATGTAACCATTGGTCAGTCTCTAAGATCCGTATAAAAAAAACAAAAAACAAACAAAAAAAACCAAACAAACAAACAAACAAAAAAGATGTAACCATTGGGGGAAACTGGGAAGTTACACAGGACTTCTCTATTATCTTTTACAACTATTAAACACCTGTTACTCTATAATAATTTGAAAATAAAAAAGATAAAACCCTATTTTAAGCTGTATATCTTGTGCTTCCCATCCCCACCTCACCAATTACAACACTGTATTACCAGGCTCTCTTGCAGCTAGATGTAGTTAAGCATCAGACAGTGAAATGGAGGCAGGAATGAGTGGAACTTCTAGGAAGTTTCCTTAAAAAGGAGAGGAAGCATTTCTTTAGGACCAGTTGCTCACCACAGACATGATAGCTATAACTCCAGCAGCCATCTTGAACCTCAAGGACAAAGGCTACATCCCAGAGATGATAGATGGAAGGAGTTTTGGGTCTTTGATGGGAGTTGTCATACCATCCTGGACTATTTACTTCTAAGCTTCTTTTAAATGAGAGACAAACTTCTATCTTGTTAAAGCCACTATCTTCAGGTTTATATTACTTGTAGCCAAACCAAATCCTAACCAATGAAATATAAAACTATATATATGTGTGTGTGTGTGTGTGTATATATATATATATATACTCTATTTTTTATAAAATTAGGATATTATATGTACTATTTTAAAGCTTTAAAAAATATTCTTCAAAACATGAAATTCTGCCATTAAAAAAAATAACAACATGAAATTCTCTTTATGACTCAACCTAGGGAATTTGCAGCCTTAAGGAAACATGTGGACTTCCAGGTCCTAAAGGTGTGGCCTTTTCACTGAATCCAAATTTTACATAACAAATCCTTTTATTAAAAGGGGTGCAGCAGAGAAAGATGAAGATATTCTTGTCTCCTTAGGTGCTAAAAAGAGAACAATCTTGAAATCAGAAGGCTGCAGGTTCCCCACCCCATTACTTAAGCAATGAAATATTAAGGTAGAAAACAAGTTGTTCTTTCTATGAAAACTATGTTGAATGCTTTGGGAAGACAAAATAGTTTTTAAAAATATTTTTAATAGAGGTGAGGCAACTGTTAAAGTCTAGAAGTCTAGAAATAATTAGAAGCATTTGTACCAAGACTGATTCACGGTAACTTTAAGTTCTCACCGAAAAGAAAAACTTTTGGAAAGTTTTTCTTTCCAAAAAAACCTGGAAATCATAAACCATTAATTACTAGTACTAGTTAGTGTAAATTTAACTCAGAACTCTATGAGCAGGCTTATTCTTAGAAAAACATTTGGTAAATAATCACACATTTATAAATTTTAAGTTAAAATAAAATGTTTAGTACACAGTTTTTTAAAATGGTTCTTTACTTTAAATAACCCTTCTTTTGATTTACCAACCAACTACTAATTGAGATTATGTCTACTTAGTAGTTTTTAGTGGACTGAGAACTTTTGGAAGGAAAACATGTTAGCAAACAACTATAAATTAATTGGGTTTGGAATGTGAGACATAGTGGCTTCCTTTATTTGTAATGTATTTTCCGATTATTTAGTAACCAAAAATTCCATATTAGTTGAAATTCCTTATTCTGGGCTCCACTAAACAATCAGGAGAAAATTTAAAATTGTAATTTAATGAATATAACTTGAATGAGATAAAAAGGATACAAAAAAAACTACCCCAAAAAGCTACATTCTCACTTTTTACCTTCCCCTATTTTACCATGCTTTAACTTTCACAGTATATTATATGATTATTTGTGCAAGTTAATACATATAACTCACAATGTATTTATATTCATCATTTTACTATCTCAACTCTGTATTATCTCAAAATCTAATAAGATTTCAATATGTTACATGATAATTATTTTATGTGCATCTTCTGATCTTATATTTACAAACAATTTTTTATAATACAACTCTCTTAAGCTGGGTATAAATAAAAATTATATTGTAGACAAAATAATATATGTCTTTAACAACAACTTGTATGTTATCATCAGACAAAATAATCAAAGAATAATAAAAGGTAAATTACGAATGATCCTAAGGATTGAGTATATTGGAATACTGCATTCTTTCTAACAAAACAAAATTTTGAAGCCTGAGTTAGCAAACTAAAACTGCAAGTAAGTCTAGCCCACCACATATTTTTGCAAATAAATTTTAATGGAACACAGCAGCCATGTGCATTCATTTACATATGTCTATGGCTGATTTTATACTACAACTTACAGCTGAGTAGCTAGTAACAGAGACCATATGAACCCAAAGCCTGGGTATTACTCTTTGCCTAAACAGTAAAAAGTTTTCTTTTTTTGGTTGTTTAAATGATACATCTTAAACAAACTATGTGTTTTAAAGTATCATACTTCCTACTTCACCTCAAAGAATGGTTATTTCATCAATTAAACTAATCTGAATGGCTCTGATGAACAGGAAACAAATTTTTTAAAGTTAAACAGCTTAAAAGCTGAATAAAATTAATCATGAATGGATGAGCTTAATGAAAAACAACTGGTTAAATGGCAATATCGAAAGAAAGGTTTACATAAAGTATATATATATATTATATATATATTTTTTTTTTTTTTTTGAGACAGAGTCTCGCTTGTGCCCATGCTAGAGTGAGTGCCATGGAGTCAGCCTAGCTCACAGCAACCTCAAACTCCTGGGCTCAAGCGATCCTTCTGCCTCAGCTCCCGAGTACTGGACTACAGGCATGTGCCCCACGCCCGGGCTAATTTTACATATATATATAGTTGAACTAATTTCTTTCTATTTATAGTAGAGACGGGGGCTCGCTCTTGCTCAGGCTGGTTTCGAACTCGCGGGCCCTCGGCCTCCGAGTGCTAGGATTACAGGCTTGAGCCACCGCGCCCGGCCAACATAAATATTTTTAAAAGCCGAAAATTTCTTTATATTTTAGTTTACTTTTTGCTTATAAAAATTAAGATCTAACCTGATTGATCCAAGAACATGTAAAATCTTCTCTCCATCTAACGGATAGTCAACATTGGGGGTGGAGGGACGCTGAAATATAAATATCATGTAAGCATAAGTCCATACATGTGTAACCTCTGAAAAAAGAAAATTTATTTTTAACTTACCTCATCATTCCATCAATATTTAATTTGCTGCTTGATTTTCAGTCCACGGTTCAGATCACTAACAAAACAAGTACGCACTTCAAGAAAAGAAGACCTTGTTATGGTAGTGATTAACTGAATGCAATACAGTGAACCCACAACCCAGTTAAAACAATTCTATCCAAATGAACATGCTAATGATCATCCAACCCTTTGGATTTATAAACTCTATTCCTGTTCTTTAGTAAGCTATGACAATTTATTCATAAATAAAAAAATTTCGGCCTGGGGCAGTGGGTGGTCAGTTGTAATCCTAGCACTCTGGAGGCCGAGGTGCGGGTGGATTGCTCAAGGTCAGGAGTTCAAAACAGACTCTGAGCAAGACCCTGTGGTCTACTATAATATAATAGAAAGAATAATTGGGCCAACTTTATTATATATAAAATTAGCGGGCTTATTGGTGGCACGTGCCTGTTAGTCCCAGCTACTCGGGAGCTTGAGGCAGTAGGAGCTTGAGGCCCAGGAGTTTGGTGCTTGAGCTAGTGCTGAACGCCCACGGCGCACTCATTAGCCTGGGCAAACAAGCGAGACTCTTGCTCTCAAAACAAAAAAAAAAATCTTCATGATGGACAAAAGATTGGATATATTATCTTCTATAAAATCATTTTAAAAAAATCCGTTTGTGGAAATAGCATGCGTTGTTTGATATCTCATGTACAAAGAGTACCAAATGCAAATAAAAATGTGCATCATAAAATGTAGCTATTCTAATTGGAAGAGGGATGTTTTTGAACTAGTTTTTTCTCTATCTGATACTTTTTAAAAAATCTTGGTTAGAACACAAACGTAAATTTTTGCTTTGTTACAGTTTAACACTCCTCAGTTTAAGGCATTTTGGCTTAAGATGTATTTTCTCCACTTAGCACACCCCAATACAACACTATCCATATTATCATTTGTATTTTTGCATTTTGATACTTAACGCTTTTAAAGTTTTCGTTTCCATTGCAAAGTACTTTTATTAATAAGCGTACTTCATAAACGTAATCGTGACAATCAAGCTTAAGATAAATTCAATTTCAATTTTTTCTGGGGGGGGAACCAGATCGCTCTTCTCTGCTTGCCCTGCGCGTGAGCGACGTGCCTGGCTCGAGCCTCAGAAAGACCTCAAGCACCTCAACTCTTCGGTCAAGAGGCAATCTCTTGCCTCAGAGCCTCCTGAGTAGCTGGGATACAGGGCAGTGCCACCGATGCTCGGGCTAATTTTTTCTCGTATATATTATTACTTGCCAATTAATTTTCTTTCTATTTTATAGTAGAGGAGGGTCTCGCTCGTTGCTCAGGCTGCGTTTCAAACTTCCTGACCTCCAGCTATCCTCCCGCCTCAGGCCCCCAGGACGTGGTTAGGATTAACAGCGTGAGCCACCACGGCCGGCCTGGCTCCTTCTTTTTTAATAGCTACATGCGGTATCCCCTTGCTTGTGAAGTTACCAAACTTCATTTTCAACATCCCCCCTTTTAAATGGATGCACACCTTTTAATAAATACACTAGATTGGGCTTCCCAAAAAGATTAGTTTAGCCAGCGCGGTGGCTCCCGCCTGTAATCCTAGCACTCTGGCGAGCCGAGTGGGCGGATCGCCTGGAGGGCAGGAGTTTGAAACCACAGCCTGAGCAAGAGCGAGACCCCCATCTCTACTATAAATAGAAAGAAATTAATTGGCCAACTGAAATATATATAGAAAAAATTAGCCGGGCAATGGTGGCGCATGCCTGTAGTCCAGCTACTTGGGAGGCTGAGGCATGAGGATTGCTTGAAGCCATGAGTTCGAGGTTGCTGCAAGCTAGGCTGATGCCAGGCACTCACTCTCAGCACTGGGACAACAAAGCGAGGACTCTGTCTCAAAAAAAAAAAAGATTAGTTTTAATCCTTACTAAGGTGCACATATGAAATCAAAATAATTTAAGAGCAAGATCTGTTTTACAGCACTAGCTCTAAAGCTATCTACTTATGTGACAAATGAACAATATCTTAATATTTCAGAGCCCAAATTAGGTACTCAATTATTTCCAGGCCCATTTAACTCTAAAATCGCATTATTGGTCTAATTTTTAAAATATTCTGAATATTTGACATTAATGACATTTTAAAGTACTAAAAAACGTTAAATCATATCTTAAATGCATTCTACATTAGAATAAAAATGCCAGAAGACCCAATTATGAACATTTATCATAAAAATTCTAGTCTAGCAAAGTAGAGAATATGTTATTAAATGAATTCGATATAAACTGTAAACTTTTTGGTCACAATTTTTAGGAATTTTCTTGAACAGTGTGTAGAATAAACTTAAGCCTAACAAAATGTATGAAAAAAACTAGGACTAAAAAAACCATTATACAACATCAAACAAGGCGGCTTTCCTAAGCGAACTGTGATTTCCTACTTATACAAATTACTAGTTTCTAATAATCCCATTATACTCCTTATGTTATTTACAATTGAGAAGCTGCTTCAATAACATATTCAAGAATGTCAGAACTTACAATAAGTCTTGAGAAAAATTAGAATTTGTATTTATATTATCTCATAGGCCTTATATATTATTTTAGGATATTACAAGTTTATTTCTGTGTAAATGTTTAAAACATATACCCTCCAAACTAACATAAGATGAAAGGTACAAAATGAGGAACTTAGTTTACCTTTAAGTTCCTCTAAGATACCTTTCTGGTACTGACACCGAAACGAAAATTTTATTATAGAATTATAGAACTTTAATAATAATTAAAAACAGTTTATTAACTTGCATTCACATTTTCCATTTTCCATTTCAGCAAAATTTTAAAAAATATAGACAATCAATTTTTTAAAGCCTAAATAGAAAAATTTACTTCATTTTTAGGGAAGAAATTTCATCATCAAAGCCAAGACAAAGCACAGAAGCTGAGCAAAAAAAGTGAAGTTCCAAGTTTGCTATCTTTCCTGTGATAATAAAGAGCTCTCAGTAATATGCGTAAGCCTAACTTTAATACAGCACTTTTAAAAAGAATCACACACAGTCTTTTAATCTTGTCCTTTAAGGTAAAGATGCATTTTTAAAAATGGAGAAAGTACCTTATTTACAGAAAGCTATGCCAATCCAGAAAGGCATTTGGAAGATGATGTTTGGATATATTACCATTGTTATGGTGATTTCTGGCCAAAAATCTCTTGTTTTCTGGAGTTATAACTTCAGAAACAAAATTTCTTAACTAAATTAAAGTCTCTAAACTATGAATTTTAATCATTGTTATATAAATATGGTAAAAATAGCCGGGGGCGCAGTGGCTCACGCCTGTAATCCTAGCTCTCTGGGGAGGCCGAGGCGGGCGGATTTGGCTCGATCAGGAGTTTCGAAACCAGCCTGAGCAAGAGCAAAGACCCCGTCCTACTATAAATAGAAAGGAAACTAATTGGCAACTAATATATATAGGAAAAAATTAGCCGGGCCATGGTGGCGCATGCCTGTAGTCCCAGCTACTTGGGAGGCTGAACAGAATTGACGCTTAGCCCAGGAGTTTTGAGGTTTGCTGTGAGCTAGGCTGACGCCACGGCACTCACTCTAGTCTGGGCAACAAAGCGAGACTCTGTCTCAAAAAAAAAAAAAAAAATATGTAAAAATATTTTGATTTATAAGAACAAATTATTGACATTAGGGAAGACAAATTTATAGCTGAAAAATGAACCATAATTATGCCCTTCTACCTTGATCTACATATCTTGTCAGTTATATCTTTTGGTTCTGAGCACTGAAACTATTAAAATCAGTTAAACTTAAAAAATGTACATTCAAAATGGTGAGCCACAATTTTTTTTAAAGGATATTTACACTACTTTTGAGGAGTGAAAAATGTTTTATCATTAGTAAGAATGAATTTAGAATTATTTATTATTTTAATATCTCATCCTTTCCAAGTTCTTTTATTTTTTTATTTATTTTATTTTTTTGAAACATAGTCTTACTCTGTTGTCCAGGCTAGAGTGCCATGGCGTCAGACTAGCTCACAGCAACCTTAAACTCCTGGTCTCAAACAATCCTGCTGCCTCAGCCTCCCGAGTAGCTGGGACTACAGGTATGTGCCACCATGCCCAGTTAATTTTTTCTATATATTTTTAGTTGGCCAATTAATTTATTTCTATTTTTAGTAGAGATGGGGTCTCACTCTTGCTCAGGCTGGCTTCGAACTCCTGACCTTGAGTGATCCTCCCGCCTCGGCCTCCCAGAGAGCTATCACGTTCTTATTTTTGTATATTTCATAATATGGTAGTAATAGTACATATATAGTTTTATAAATAAACATATGGATTGAAGGTACATGTTCAAAGTTTTATTTTACCTCTGGGACCAGAATATGATCAAATAAGTTTGAAGATTCCTATCCTCAAGTATTAAAATTTATCTCACAAGAGGGTAAAGATAAACCAAAAGTACCCCTGGCCATAAATAGATGTGAGAAATGTAACTTGATTATAAGAACCTACAATTTAAGAGTAAGTGTTAAAAACCACAGCATTCCACAACTTAAATACTCTCTCTAGGAATATTCAAATAAATTCTAACATGTGTCAAAGAAACTTGGTAATATGAGAAAGAGTTTTCTTTAGGCAAATGTAAGACAGCCTTGAAAATAAAGGGTTTAATTTAGGTAGGAGTAGATTCTACTTTGGGGAAAGGGTACCTTAATCTTAGCAAACAATCACAACTATTTAAATTTTGTAAGTGAGGTACAGAAACAAGAGGCATTCGCTGGCTCTGGCTCTGAAAAATCATTTAAATTACAGTTTAAATTAGTTAATTTACGAGAATAAAAATCGCAACATTTAAAATTGTATACCTTTTAAATCAGTGTACTTACTGCAAGGCTAACGGTCACAGACTCAGACTTTGAGAAGTACAGGAAGGAAAGATTAGAATCAGTCTAAGAAATCAGACTGAAGAAAAAGTATCCAAGAAGGTATGGTTTAGAATTTTAAGGAAATGTTGTAATTAGTTTTTCTTTTTATCTCAAAATATCATAGAGGTACAAATGTTTTTAGTTATACAGATTACTTTTGTTATGCTTGAGTCAGGGTTATAAGCATGCCCATCACCCAGATAGTGTTTACTGTACCTATTAGGTAGGTTTTTGCTCATCCCCTCCTCCTCCTTCCCCTAATCAATTTTAAAGATATTTTATTTACTAAAAACATCTTGGGACACTACACTGAACTTATCATCCTTAGAGACCTTTTATAAATTAACTGTCATCATTATATAGTAAAATGGTAACAAAGTTTATCTGGAATAGGAAAATTATAATCAAATCTTTATAATTAAAATTGCTATTATTTTAACTATCAATAAGGAACAATATGAAAACATGATACACAGGACTTAGTCTCCTGAAAACCTGCCTTTCCTTTCTAACATTTATTCAGTGCCCAAGCACTACACTAGGTGCTGCAGACTGAAATATAAATAAAACAGGCATCGTCAAATTCTACTGGGAGAAACAAGTAAATTAACAGGCAAATGAGAATGTGTCATATGTGCTATAATAAATACTGTGATGGGCTTAATAGAGAGAGGAACAATTTTTCTGCTTTGGGAAGATGAGAAAGGCTTTCCATTGAAGATGACATTCCAGCTGGGTCATGTAGAGGGATCAAAAACCTAAGTAGGCAAAGAAAAACATCCCAAGTGAAAAAAGAAAATAAATGAAGGCACAGTGTCGTGCAAGGACTTACAGTGCCTAGAAAACTATAAGAAATTTACCGTAGCTGAAATAAGGAACAAAGAATAGAGTAAGGCTAAGAGGGAAGATAAAGTTAGGTTGTGAAGAAACTTGTATATCAAACAGATATTAGATTTTAACCTGTAGGAACTAACAAAAATTCTCAAGCAAAAGAGCAACATAATCAGATTTATTTTGTGGAAAGTTATTTCTGGCAACAGTGTGAAACAGACTAAATCAGTCCATAGAGGAGGCTCCTATAATAATCCAAGCAAGAAATGTGGGCCTAGATTAAAACAATGTCTTTGTTTTTAGATGTTCAGTGGTGTGGAAAATGGAAAAAAGAGGTAAAATTTCAAAGAGATTTCTGAGGGAAAGTTGAAAGAATATGATAACTCTCAGGTTGCTAAAATGGGAAATAAGGAAGATGTCATTGTCTTTATCTAATAAAGAAGGAAGAGATTGGCTGGGCACGGTGGCTCACACCTGTTAATCCTAGCACTGTGGGAGACTGGGATCAAAGGATCACTTGAGTCCAGGAATTTGAGGTTGCTGTGAGGTAGGCTGATGCCATGGCACTCTAGCCCAGGCAGCAGGCAAGACTCTGTCTCAAAAAATAAATAAATACATAAACAAACAAACAAACAAACAAGGAAGAGATAATGTGTTCACTTTTGGAAGTCTTAAGTTTGAGGTGCCTAGTAAGAAGCATAGTTTATATCTAATAATCAATTGGAAATATATAGATATCAAGTTTAGAAGAAGGATCTGGCTCAGTAATATATGGGAGCAGATGTGATCACCTTTAAAAAGCCTGTATGAAGAAAGAAGACAAAACCAATCCCTGAGGAAATAACAGTAGAGAAAGCAAGAGCAAAGGAAACCCAGACAGAATACTCAGAGAAATAATAGAAAACCATAAAGGAAAAGAATCCTGAAAGCTTAGGGAAGAAAGAATTTCAAGAGTACATAATAAGCCACTATGTCAAAAGTGATGACTAGCACAAAACTACTGGATTTGGTGATTAAGAGCTCAATGATGACCTTATAACTGAAGCAATGCTATCAAAGTAGGAGGGGAAAAGAGAATAACTATGCATTGGGGCAAAAACTAAAATATAAGTTAAAGAAATGAAAAGAGAATGTAAAATGCTCTTAAACAGCTTAAAATGAAGTTACCCATCACTGAAGGAAGGCCTCTGTCTTTGCCCAGCACTCGTTGATCCACACGTACATTTGTTTTTTTCCAACAGTTGAGTTTCCAACTCCCTGAATTAAAAAAAAAAAAGTTATTGGAATTAAAATATTGCAACTGATATCCTTTTCTTATTAATACTTTTACTACACAATAGATTATGATGCTGTAAATAAAAATGGTTTTATTCTAAAAAGATAAATACTCAAAGCAAATAGAACATGAAATAAAATAATGCCACTCACAGCCTTCTTATTGATCACTGATCATAATACTAGCATACTGTTTCTTTGGTTTGGCACAATTTTGAAATATAGTGCTAAATTCCAAGAAACTTTACCCTGTGAACGAAGCCTTTTTCCTCCTAAGGGAATGGGCTTCGCCAAACAATTTATATGGGAATTTCCTTCATATTATCTTACAGAGTAGTCAAGGATTTATTACATATTTAGAGATATAATTGGTGATTTTCCTTGAATATATTTCACCACCTGTTCTGCAGTGGTTTTTCTATCAAGCTTGGTTCAGAAATTTTTGTTTTTGTTTTTTGTTGAACAGTACTTGCACTGTCAAGCCACGCTAGAAAGGTGCGGAATGTCCAGCCTACCTCAAAGTATACCTCAACTCCCTGCTCAAGGCATTCTCACGCCATCTCAGTCTCCTGAAAGTAGCCTTTGGGATATAGGTTTGGTGCACGACCCACAAACCCAGCCTAATTTTTTCTATTTTTTGGGACAGTGGGGGTCATTGCTTCTTTATTCCAGATCTGGGGTCTTTGGAACTCCTGAACTCAAAGTGATTTCTTTTTTGCCGGCCACTCCCAGAAAAAAAAGTGCTAGGAATATTTAACAGGTATTGTGAGTCACCTGGCCAGGCCATTAAATAATTTATTTATCTTTTTTTTCCTTTTGAACAGAAGTCCCCTCACTCTGTTGCCCCAGGAAAATAAGGAAGTGCTTAATAGCAAATCCACCACCAGCTCACAGCAACCCAATCCGGCTCGGCAATCCTCTCCTGCCATCAGCCCCTCGCCGGAGTACTGTGGGAACTACAGGCCTGCCCAAACACGCCCCAGCTTAATTTTTTCTATATAATTTTTTAGTTTTGGCCAATCTATATTTTTTTTAGTAAGACGGGGTCCCTCGCTCTTTGCCTTTCAGGCTGGTTTTACCCTGACATTTGAAGCAATCTCCTGCCTCGCCCCCTTCTCAGAGTTGGTCGCTAGATAAAGGCGTGGAAAGGCCCACGGCCCCAGGTCTAAATCTTTTCTTGAATTGACTTTCTCATTTTCAGTTTTCCCCAATTACTTCATATGTTTTTTTATTTTCCTAGACTATCCTAGTCCCACTTATTTATTTATTGACACATCCTAATTAGCTGATGTTCCTTTTGAAAATTAATATTCATAAGGTCTGCTCCTTATGAATATAAGGAGTATATACTGGGACCAAATCACAACAACAACATCCTTTTTTTTTTTTTTTGACAACTTCCATAAAAAGTAAACTTAGGTCTTATAATCCTGTGAACTTTTTCCACATGGTGATTTGTATATGGCAACTCAAAATAGTTCAATACAATAAAAATCATTTGTAATAAGTCTAATTATTATATTTAAAGTGGAGTAAAAACTGCAAAATTGGCTGAATGACAAAAAAGATACAGGTAACACCAGGCTTTCCCTATATCCACAATCCAGGACCATGGCAGAGTTAATTCCAAGCGTCAGAAGAGCCATTAGATGACTTGGAGCAAGCAAGACAGATGGAACCTGGAAAACAACACAATCAAAACAACAACAACAAAACCAGGATGAGTGTCATATCTGAAGGTATCTGACTTATATTAAAATATATTTGAAAAAATTCACAGGAAAATTATATTAGATTATATCATGATACCTATTGAACCATTTTATGGCACTAAATTAAGAACTAGTTTGATTTATTTACATAAATCATATTAATATAATCATTTAGTCAATAATCAAAAATATACTATAATAAACAAAACATTTTAAACTAAGTTGTTTCATTCCAAAATGACAATTATGAAGCATTTTTACTAAATCTTGTTCTATCTCTTTTGGAAGAGAAAACTGAAAGGGATAAAAGAGGAGGTTAAAAAAATATAAATTCAGAGGAAGATGCTAAATTAAAAAAAGAAAAGAGATGCCTTTACCAGCAAGATGAAAATACAGAAAAAGAATTTTCTTGATTATCTTTATTTGCAAAGCTTATAATGTAAACTGTATTTTTTAAACACTGTAATATAGCAGTTAAAATTAAACCAGAGAACAAAACTACAAAATAGCTGTTTAACAGTTTTTTCAGTGAGAATCTGCAGATCTGATGACATCTCAAATATCAGAAATCCAATCAAAATATGAAAGTGCACCATAATCAAGTGGCAGACAAAGTAATGGCTATATTTCCTTACCTAAATAGACACAGCATGTATTCTAGTCATATACAAGACAAGGATACTAACACAAACACAGCTAAAACTCTAAGAATCTCCTATGTTATTCATGTGAAAGGTAACGTGACTTTTTCTTGTTTTGTTTTGTGTTCTCCCTACTGCAGACAAAATTCCTGAACCTATGATATCAGCAAGTACAGGAGGCTATACGACCTGTTTCTCTGTGCCTGCCTTACCAAAATATAACTTAGAAATATTAACTGCCCTTACCTCATAAAGACATTGTGATTGCTGGTATTAGTTATATTTTGAGTTCAGCAGTATGTAAGAAAATACATTTGTATGTGCTTAATTTCTTACATACTGTATACATTTCATACAATCTTCCATTTCCCGTTGCTGAAAAAAAACTAAATTTCAAGGCAGAGATTTAAAAAAATTTAAATGATAAAGATTCTGGTCTACTTTGAAATGTATTAACCTTAAGACATATTCTTGGTCTTAAAATAATCTTGACTCCTATAAAATAAAAGCTATCAGTCATATTACTAATGTTACGAGGTAAGTCTCATTCTTGGCAATGCCCACTTACACTGAGGGGGAGACTGTTTGAATACTCTATTTAAAACAAATTTAAAGCCTAAAATGAAAAAATTAAAGAATTCCAAATAGTATAACTAAATAATGGAAGCTAGAAAGACCTGGAAGAAACGCATCACAAACTTGATGACACACAATACACCTTTTAATTCTGAGAAAAAGTCCCCAAATAAAAAATCTACATTAAAATAAACAACAAACACTAATTTAAAAAAATCTCCAATTATCTAAGGGTTGTATGAAATGCTAAGTAAGCATGAAATAACCATACTAAGGAAAAAAATAAATGGTCAATTTGAAGAGGTTTCTGTTATCTGGTTCCTCAACTGTGTAGTATATACAATAAAAGAGATAAAATGAGCACCTTTTTTAGTTTAAGTTTTGAGTATCTACCAAAAAAAGAGAAGAAAGATTCCCTGACAAATAAGAATTTTATTACTTTTCTTTCAACTTCAAAAGCAATTTACGCATTTGATTTAAAAACAGGTACCTCAAAATATTTGAAAAGAACACGAGTGAGTGTCTCTCTGAAGTGGGAAGGACATAATACCGACTCGATAACCACAACTCGGCGGTCTCTGGGATTCACCAATAGATGCCTGAAAAGTGATAGTGTTTTTTAAAAGTAAATAACAGTTTGATTTATTTTGGTTAAGAAGTGCAATTTGATAAGAATAGAGAAATTATACTACCTCAAGAAGCTTTAAGATGAAAAGACATCATATCCCTGAAAGATAATGTTTCTGACCTCTTACTATGTGCCATGCACTGTGCCAGAACTTTATTAACTCATTTATTTCAGAAAACTAAAACCATAGCCTACTATGATTACTAACTAGAGCCATTAAAATTATTTTTTTTTTTTTTTTTTTTTGAGACAGAGTCTCACTTGTTGCCCAGGCTAGAGTGAGTGCCGTGGCGTCAGCCTAGCTCACAGCAACCTCAAACTCCTGGGCTCAAGCGATCCTCCTGCCTCAGCCTCCCGAGCAGCTGGGACTACAGGCATGCGCCACCATGCCCGGCTAATTTTTTCTATATATATTAGTTGGCCAATTAATTTCTTTCTATTTATAGTAGAGACGAGGTCTCGCTCTTGCTCAGGCTGGTTTCGAACTCCTGACCTTGAGCAATCCGCCCGTCTCGGCCTCCCAGAGAGCTAGGATTACAGGCGTGAGCCACCGCGCCCGGCCTGAAATTATTTTCTTTTATTAGGTTACAAAAGTAATATATGCTCAGAAAACTCCAAACACTATAGACATTTTCAACTTGGAAAGTGCAAGCACTTTATACTCCTACAATCTGGAAACTACCACTGAGAGCAGTCTGTGTATTTTTCATTCTTATGAATGTGTATGCATATATTTTAACAGAAATATTCATCCACAGATATTGTTCTTCAACTTGCTTTTTTTCACTTATCAATATATCTAAAACACCTTTCTGTACTAGTACATTTAGACACAGAACTCTTTTTTAATGAATCCAGTGTTTCGTTGTATGGGTTTATAGTAATTTAATTATCAATCACCTTTATTAATGGACATTTGATTTTCAATATTTCCTTATGTTTGTTAGTTTTCTAGTCTTCAAATGTATTTTTGAAAAGGTTGAAAATAAACAAGTAAAACTGTTTGTGAAAACTTTGCAGTGAAAGTCAGTTTTTTTGTTGTTTTTTTTTACATCAACCAAATGCAACTATGACTGGCATTAGGAAATTCTATCTAATCACAAAAAACCAAACCAACCTAGGGGGGAAAAATCTAAAAAGCAATTGCATCTTACCTAAAATACAGGATGTGGATGAATTCCTTTAGGTAGGAATATAATTCTTCTGTATTGATATTATACTGAACAACTTTGACAGGCTGTAAAAAATTAAAATGATTAATTTATATAAATAAAATAATGTCAGATTAAAACTAAAATGTGTTTTATTTTACCAGTACATTTTCTGGTAATAAATAAATAGCAATTTGTACTAAGGATACAAAAATTAAATATAGATTAATATCTTAAATTAGAAATCCTCAAGAAATAGCATATCTAAGATTATGGAATTTTTTGGTTTGTGGTAATAGAAGCACGTGTTCATAGGTAAAAGCTGTACTCATATGCATCTTCCCTTCATCTGACTTATCATTTTAGCATGACTGATGCTAAAAATCAGCATTCACCAAAAAGCATTACAGGCTTCCTCAAATACTCTAGACTTGGTTCAGTACCTGTAGTCACTCCCAAGGCACTCATACCTTCTCTTTTGCAACATCACCATGCTTAATTACTTATAAAATGTTCAACTTTCTGTTAGACTGTTAAGTTCCATGGGGCAAGAACTGTTTTTGGCTTGCATCTGATATGTTGTTCTTCAAAAGATACATTGCCAGGAACTAGTAGGTTGTTCATAAATATATGTTGTAAAAATGAGAACAAATACCATTAGCACTAAAGCAGCATATGCAAACACTACCAAACCACAAGTACTAAGTCAACACTAATATATAAAAAGGGCTTCATTTATGATTCTCAGAAAGCTCTAAGCACACTGATGCATCATTGGCAAACCTCTGTTCATTTACTTTTTCAAAGGAAAGACCATCATCAGCTTGGCTAACTTCTTCATTTTATGTGGCTTAAAGAAGGTTCCAAACCATATATAGTCAAATATAAGTAATCTTTATATACGTTTCTTTTCAAATGAAGATAGAAGTTCAAAGCACTAAGAAAAGTGCCAATGAGAATGTAAAAGTAAAATCTATCTAGTAACACAATAATGAAAATTATTACAAAGCAAAATTACATGAAAAATTAATAAACAGAAACTTCCATCACATTTTTGAATATCATACCACAAATATCTACTATATTTCTGGCTTGACCAACGATTTGCAGAAAATTTTAAAATCAATGAAATGATTCCCTAATCAAGTATAATTAAAAAGATTTCTGATGTATTCCAATGCCAAATATAAATCGATGATCTAATCTATTCTGGTACAACATGTTTCTATAAAACACATATGCAATTGCTAAATAAGGAAGTAATGTTAGTATAATGTTAAAGTTGTATTAGTTCACGTTATACAAGAGAAGCTAAAATTATAATAGCAGAATTATAACCTTCCTCAAGAAAAAGAAAGTCATCAACTCCGTGGTCACACAGGTAGATATCCTTTCAGATATTTAAGAAAATTTAAATAACTTCCTATACCAGGGGTCCCTCCTCAAAGTATATCCTTTCATGACTCTATTGGCTCTATTTCCTCCTAGTTTCTACTTAACAACAGTCCCACTGGCTCAGAACTTGTTTCCATTGGTTTTGTCTCAGCACCCACTGGCCAGTACTTTCAATCTATGATTTTATTTTAATATTCACACTCAGCAGCTAGCCAATGCTATTCAGATTTTCCCCTAAAGTATCAATCATTGTTTTTGCTAGTCCTCTAATTACAAGGTTTTGTATGGTCTACCCCAACCTCATTTTTCCCATAAGCCTGTCTTTTTTTTTTTTTTAATATATCATATTGTAGAACAGAGGTTTTTCAGGAATAAATATAAAATGTTACTGCAGAAAGACCTGTAGCTCATTTTTTAACAGATGAATTTTATGGCATATAAAATTATTCTTTCTATTGGTTGTAATTCCTGATTTGCCAAATAAGCTTTGGCAAGAAACTTACTAAAATGTGTTTTGAGTTGTGCATGGTGGCTGTGCCTATAATCCCAGCTACTTGGCTGAGGCAGGAGGATTGCTTGAGCCCAGAAGTTTAAGACTGGCCTGGGCAACATAGCAAGAACCCCATGTCAAAAAAAAAGTTTGTTTTTCAAAATTCTTTACAACTACAGATAAGGTAATAAAGGCCTGACATATTTGAAATAAGGTAAAAAAAAGTTATTCAGGGTATTATGTTACACTAGGCTTATAAAAGTATTTTACTAAGGTTATAAATTTTCTCTTGATATTATATGATTTCATTTATATAAAATGTTCAGAAAAGGCAAATCTATAGAAACAGAAAACGTATCAGTGGTGGGCTAGGGGCAGGAATGAGGATTAACTGTAAATGGCATTAGGGATCTTATTGAGGTGATAAAAATATTCTAAAATTGGACTGTAATGGTGGCTATATATCATAATTTTATGATATACAAATTAGACCTCTATAAATAAAGCTGATTTTAAAAAGTTCTCTTGGAAATATAGCTGTAAGTTACATATTTACCACTATTTTAACCAATCTTATTTGAAATCATATTTTAAAATATTTTACAGGACAGTATTTATTTTGCTCATTTGTTTTAAAAAATACCTTAGGCAGGCCGGCTCTTTTTATCACACTAGGAATTATACATCTTGGACCAGTTTCTCCAGCAAATCCACACCTGTAAATAAACAGAAAATTGAAACACTCAACTTACAGAATTCTTAGTATTTGTCATTCTAGTGTTTAATAATTCCAAATATTACTGTATTTGTTTCAAAACAATGGTCACAGAAACATCTGGAAATACCTTTGATGCAAGGGGACTACCCTCCCCCTCAAAAAACTAAGAAGTTATTAATACAATTATTAATAAATAATTGTATATTAAAGGAAAAAATCAAATTATTTAAAATTAGTGATACTGAAATAAACCAGTGTACAGTCATCCCTATGTATCTACAGAGGATTAGTTCTAGGCCCCACTCCCACCCCACAGATGCGAAAATCTGCACATATTCAATTCCCACAGTCAGCCCTCCATATCTGCAGGTTTCACATCCATCCTGTGAATACTGTATTCTTGATCTGTGTTTGATTATGGATGCAAACTCAAGGATACTGGGGGCCATCTGTATTTACTGAAAAAAAATCCATATAAAAGTGGATCTGTACAGTCCAAAACTGTGTTGTTCAAGCGTCAACTATATTATTTTAGGGCAATATTTCCTTTTTCTCCCCATTTTTAATTTTAGCTGAATTTTAGGCAAGACGTTTCTATGATCCTGAATCTGTAAATTATGTGACTTCATTCATATAATTCAGATGAATCACTCATAATTCCTTCATTCTAATATTATTAGCTTCCATATTGATGTTTGCTTCCAGTCTATTTTTTAACTATGCATATTTGATAGTTATAATCATACTTCATACACAGTGACCTCATACAATAAGCCGTCCATATTAATAGTCTTCATTGGTATTTTAAAAACTGTATAATATTTCATTCCTTAAAAAATATTATTTTTTCTTGAATATTTAGCTACTTCCATAGTTTATATTAGTAAAACAAAACTTTCCTTAAAAACTTGCTTTTTGATCATCATGCTAGTTATAGTCTTAATATCGCCTCTTCCTGTCTTGTCTAGTTTTTGGTATTGGTCTCTTCCTATCCCCAAATATCTCTCTCCATATTCTACTATTCCCATCTCCATGCTCACTTGCACTAACTAGTGCTTCTGAAATTCCCCAGCATGCAACCCATTAAGTAGCTTCAATTCCTTTCTTTTACTTCATATATTCATCTTATCGCCTTCCTGCTTTCATTTCCAATAATCGTCTTCCTGTCTATTTCTTTTTGCTGCTTCTTCAATGTACAGCCAAAACATCTTTGAGTAGTGGCCTCAAGATATTTATCATGCTATTCAGATAAATTTTTAAATAATAGAGCAGTAAGAGAATGTCACAATCAAGGACTATGTTTAATCCAATTCTGGAGCTCCTGAGCTCCAATTTTTAAACAGGTTCTTTTGGCCACTTATTCAAAAAATGGTTATTAAAATGTTTACTCTATGTTAGAAAATGCTTAGAGGTCACAAAGATTTTTCAAAGGTTTCCATTTCAGAAATGTGCGTGTGTGTGTGTATATACACATATGTATTTGGTGTATTGCCTGTCACTTTCTTCTCTCTGGAGCCCATTACAAGGACTCTTAATCCGGGGTGCAAAGACCCTGCCAATCCCCTGAAACTGTGTGCAAATACCTTAAGATTTGTGGTTTTCATCTGATCCTTTAAGGGATCCTGCCATCCAAAAAGGTTGACTGAACCACTATTCTCGTGTTTACAAGTTGTCTTTTAAAACATGTTAAATGTAACCTAAGAGTTTGGGGGGGGGGCACAAAAGATTTCCAGAGTCTAATCAATAGAGCTTCACCTCTTTGTTTATGTGCCCAGTCTCCCTAGTTTGATTCCCTATACTTGAGAAGCAATAGGCCTGTCTTAAACATTTGTATTTCCAGCACCAACAGAAGCTCCGTTCAATAAATGTTTCATGATGGAACATCATCAAGCATTCTAACTCGGTTGCTGCTTTCCTAACCAGCTGAGCCCAGGGTAAGCGGGGCCTAGATCATCGCTGTCATCCCCTGCATAGATGATCCATGCCAAAAGGTCCGTTCGGTTTGGGGTGACGATCCGAGGTGGCAGCGAGGGCTATTCTCCCGAACCTTCCTGAGGCCTCTCTAGGAGTCACAGCCCGATCACCCCCACCAGTCGTCCTCAGGATTCGCATCGCCCAAGGTGGTTATAAGGGCCGTCATTTGCAAAGAGAGCTGGGACCAAGAAAGGGAGAGGCCCGGAGCTGCCCGTGAGCCTGCGATGAGGACCCGGGCCCTGCCTGGGGCTCGGCCATCCGCCCTCCCCTCGGGCCGACCACAGCCGGCGCCACGGCCACTCACTTGGTAAAGGCCTCTCCCAGGTCGATCACGACCGCCGTTTTCTCCCCGCTACTCCCCAGGCCCTCGTAGAGCGGCATGGCGACAGGGAGCCCGAGAGGAGTGGGCGCGGACGCCGCGGCCGACAGGGCTCTGCCCGCGGGGGGGCGGGGCTGGGGCTCGGGGCGACGGCGACGGCGACGGCGACGGCGGGGTCCTCGCGCGGCCACGGCGCACCACCCCGGGCTGTCCCAGGCTGTGCCTTATTCTGCGTTGACCCAAGTCCTTGCAGATGCTCCCGTCCGGAGGACTAGGGAGGAAGAGAGTAGGACGCCGCGGGTCTGAGTGTGGGGATGCGGAGGGTCAAGGAAACCAGGCGCGTCCGGCGCCCCGAGTGGGGCGGAGCCGGCCTCCGGGTCCTTCCTCCCGGCACGCCCCCCAGCGGCGCCCCTGCGCGTCTGCCGAGGGGTCTGTGAGGGAAGCGGGAACCCGGAAGTTTTGACTCGTGCACTTTAGGGGCAAGTGATGCTGAGCCCCTACTGTGTGCTAGGAGTTTTGCCTAGCGTTTGAAATCCCGAGGATAGGTGTTTCCTTATTTGTAGGAACTGAAGCTCCCAATGCTGGGAACGGCCCTAGGGCTTTCCGATTGCAAGGCATAGTCTGCTGATGCTTTAGAGAATACTAATGTACATATAGCGCTTTATTTGGCATAGTCATTATGCTGAAAGTTTTTATTTTAATCCAAAAAAGCAGCTAAAGTAGCATTTATGAATCTTACCTATGGAGGAGCAGTCAGGTAGTTAAGTCACTGTAGTGGAAGGAACACTGAACCAAATGTCCTTGTTGACTCTGAAACCGAGGAGCTATGCAACCCAAGGAAAGTTACCAAATGTCTCTGTGCCACAATACAATAGGAATGCTGTGGTGAAAGTGGACTGTTCACGTCTTTATGGTTTCACAGCTTTCTGTGAAAATATTTTCTTTCTGCAAATGTCAGCTTTAACTGTATATATGGGAGTGGGAGATGTTGTCAAAGGAGAGGGTGTACAGTATGAGAAGAGATTCAAGAGTAGAACCAGTGTAGAACACCAGCATTTAGCTGGTATACTAGGTTGAATGCTGTCCCCCCCAAATTCTTGCCCACCAGGAGCCTCAGAATGTGACCTTTTTAGAATTAGATTCTTTGCAAATGTAATTAAGTTGGGATGAGGTTATACTGGATTTAGATGGGCCCTACTCTGGTAACTAGAGTTAGTGAGCCTTGTCCCTATGACTATGGGAAGAGAAATCACCTGTTTTTCCCCAATGTGTTTTTCTTACCTGCTATAGATACCTGAGCCTCCTTACAAAGGGTAGTAGCTCTTTACATAAGAATTAAAGCTGTACAATTTGAAATTTGGACAGTGTGATACTAGTAAAGTTCACGTTTAAGTATAAATTAGTGATCAGTGATCCTCCTGAAAGTATATTGCTTGAGGTAGGAGGGTGAAGTTGGAGTTGTGATGGGGAAGGAAACTTCAGGAAGAATGAGAATGGATGAAACATTTTACTTAATAGGGCCCGAGTGTTTGAGTAGGACCCCTCATTTGGGTTCAAATTATGTTTTCTGCCACTTTCTAATGCTTGTGATCATGCATTTTCTTATTTTTAAACTGGGCTGCTACTTTACAAGTTGTCTGTGAGGATCAATTGAAATTATGTTTTTGAAACTATTGAAACCATAAAGTATAGTTATTATCCATTCTGTGTTTTCCATGACTGTTCACCAACTGTATTTGTTTCCTCAGGAGTGCCATAACAAAGTACCACAAACTGAGTGGCTTAAAGCAACAGAAATTTGTTCTCATACACTTCTAGAGATGAAGTCAGAAATCAAAGTGTCAGCAAGGTCATGCTCTCTGAAGGCTCTGAAGGAGGATCCTTTCTTGTCTTTTCCTAGCTTTTGTGGCCAGCAATCTTTGGTGTTCCTTGGCTTCAATCACTCCAATCTCTGCCTCTGTCATCACCTGGCCTTCTTCCCCATATCTCTGCATTTTACATGATCTCCTTCCTTCTGTGCATGTCTCTGTGTCTAAATTTCCCTCTTTTTAAAAGAACTTAATATAGGATTAGGGACCATCTTAACCCAGTATGACCTCATCTTAACTTGATTGCATCTGCACAGACCGTAGTTCCAAATATGGTCACATTCTAAGGTTCCTGGTGAACAAAAATGTTGGGGAGGACACTATTCAACTCAGTACATCAGTTGAATGTTGTTATTCTCCATGGTTCTGCTCTTCTTATTATACACTCTCCTTAAACAATCTCTTACACTCCCATACATACTGCTAGAGATAATATTTGTTGAGTTCTATTTGCTAGCTCTGTTTGCTATATGTAGTCCCACTTGCTCCTCACAACAACTTTATGAGTTAAGATTATTATCTCCATTTTAGGATATTGAGACCAAGAAAGGTTAAATAATATGCCCAAGGCCTCTCAGCTGGTAAGTGGCAGAGAAGGAATTGGAACCCAGAGAGTCTGATAGTTTGACTCCAGAGCCCAAGCTACATTGTGTAATTATAAAGTAGTTATGCATTAATTCAGATGATTAAATTTTATCATAGAATTGCATCATCTTAGAATATGAAGCGACCTAAGAGGTTTTCAAGTCTAAACTCCCACTTATTACAAGAGTTTCCTATTCTGTTGAGAATTATCTCCCAAAATGGTTCCAATGATGAACAGAGGGCTCATGACTAGTTGGGATCTACAAGAATAAAAATGTGCTTGCTAAGACAATTAGGAGTAAAAACAAACCAAAACCCCAAAATGCTATAAGGATAAGAATCATTTGAAAGAAGCCCAACTCTTCCAGCAGCTTAGTATAATGGACCTGAATTCAAGTTTCAAGTCCTAACCATATTAACTTACTGACCTCAGGCAAGTCTGTTAAATTCTCTGGGTCTCAGTTTCCTCAATGGTGGGGAGTTTGGACATTAGCCCACAGGTATTAGTAACCATTCAAAATATTTTATGTAAGAGAGAGACACTGTCATATTTGTGTTTAGTTTGATCAGTTTGCATTCATTTCTTTTGAAGTGGGCTAGACCAGGATGAAATGGAGGGGACTGAGATTGGTGGTATAAACCAATTTGCAAGCATTGCTAGAGTCCATGAGAGAAATGATGACCACCTGAATGAAGGCAATGGCATGGCTGGGAGAGGAAAGGATTTTAGAGAAATTTGAAAGAGGTTTGCCTAATGAAGGCAATATAAAGATTTTCTGACATACAAAAGCTGAAAATAAAAACAAAAACAAATAATCCTCCACACCAGTAGACCTGCCCTATGAGAAATATTAAAGGAGCTTCATAGAGAGAAGGGAAATGATTGAGCATCCTACCTACTATGTGCTAGGAATTGTTCTAGGTGCTTGGCATCAATCAGTCCAACAAAATATACAAAGATTCTTGTCCTTAGAGAACTTACGTTCCAGTAGAGGGAGATAGACAATAAATACATACATAATATATAAGTGATGCAGTGTTAGAAAGTGAAAAAACTTTTTTTGTTTGTTTTTGTTTTTCAAAAAGTAGAGCATGGCAAGGAAGATCCATAGGGACAGGGACACTAGGTCATAATTTCAATATTGAATAGGGTCATCCTTTGAAATACAATGTCTGTTCATTTAGGGTTTATCCCAAATTCTCAACCTGAATTGAAAAAAACACCTTCAGGATTTGTATCAAAAAATAGAAAATATTTACATTTGAAGCATTCCATGAAATCATTGATACATTCAATGTTTAAATATGTAGTCAAGGAATTTTTGTTTGAGTTTCAGTTTGAAGTGGAGATAGAGTTGCTTAGAGAATAATGTTTATGTGACAAATTACCCTTAAAATGTTATCCATATGGGAGAAGACATAATTTTTATATTTAATAACAATAACATCACAGTAAAGCAATTTAGAGATCTTTTCTAAGCACTGTGTTAGAAAAAAAAATTAACAAATATTCTGATTTAATCAACTGAAGTTACCTGGTCTTAGAGGCTTTATAGTTCCAATTGTATTAGTGATTCCTAATTAATCCTTTCTAAAGTACAGAATTTAATTAGATTTGTAGCTTTCATTCTGTAACTTTATTTTGCAACTTATATGACTAATAGACTAAAACAGATGTCAGTGTTCAGCCATAGATTTGGTCTATATATATCTCTCCAATATCAACTGAAGGAATTTATACAACTAGAAAAGGATATGACAGAAAAATGGACTGAAGGAAGAGTGGACATAGTAAATATCAGTGATCCATAAAAACTACTTATCTATATTGACTAAGCCTCATAAAAATTTACAATCATAGTCAAAATTAGACAATGCAACAAACCCCTACTGACCAGCTTCAATATCAGCATTTCTCCATAGTTTTTAAAGTCTATTTTTTTTCCTCCCTCTTTTTTTTTTTGTTGGAGTACTTTTAAGCAAACTATAGATATCATGTCATTTCATCCCTATATAATTATTAATAAATATGCACTTTTAAAAAGGGCTCTTTTTTTACATAACCATAAAAAATGCAAACATTTGCAACAACATTTGAAACTTAGCTGTGAAGGAATTTTTTTTTAAGTCAGGGGTCTCACTTTGTTGCCCAAGCTAATCTCAAACTCCTGGGCAAAAAGGAAGCTCCCACCTCAGCCTCCTGAGTACCTGGGATCACAGGCATGTGCCACCGCATCCTGCTTAGGAATTCTTTCCTCTTGCAAAAATCCAATTTTTTCGAGCCTTTCTAACTTTCCAGTATTTCTTTCTCTGTCACTCTGGTTGGTGGGAACACAAACTCTTTCCGGCTATATGTGAGCTTCAGGGAATTATCCTGCCTTCTCTCTTCTGGTGGTTCTTTCCCCAGCCTGGAGTAGTTTCCTCACATCCTTGTAGCTAAAAATTCAAAGGGAACCCTGAGCAGACTGCCAAAGCCTGCTCTCTTTTTATGCACATCTCTCCTCTCCATGCAGCTTTCTCCTCTGAATTTGATCTGCCTTAACCTTCCTAAATTTGCAATTCTGCCCCCACTGGGAGTTGTTTGGATTCTCCCTCCCAGTGCAATATATATACATAATATATAAGTTGGGGCAATCATATATATACATAATATATAAGTTGGGGCAATCATAAGGCTTACCTCACCTGCTTTCCTTCTGTCAGGGAT